TTATTGAACAATCACTGATAAAATTGTATTCATGGACCCCCCATACCATTCCTTATCCCCATGCTAAGTGAGTTCATAACTTATAATATTTAACCTACACAGCATAAATATTTTACACCCAAGAACTGTACAATTAAGTAGTTTTCCCAGTTTATTCTTCTTATTATTAATATTAATTTGGTTTGAAAAAATATTTGGAAAAATTTACCTATCTTCCCTCAAGGAATTGGGCATTTGAAGAGCAATCATGGTTTTCTCCAGAGGAAAATAACCAAGTTGCTTTAAAAATTTGTTTAGTTAACTGTTTATACAACAAAATTATCCCCTTCTTCTTCCTTTTTATTTCTAATTCAACAAGTGCTGTGCTTTGTTGCTTCACTCACTTTAATTTCACTACATTCAGAATTTAAAACATGTTTCCAGTTATACAAAATAACTATAATTCCAACTCATCCTATCTAATGCCTAAATGAAAAGAGCGCGATCTGAAAGCTACACTGGTAAAAAAAGAAAGGCATTTGCACTACACATAATAACATCCAAACTCACCACAGGCTTCATAGTTCAAAACGAGTGCCATCAGATAAGGAGAAGGTTAGCAAGGTATTTGCCTTTCCACAGGAGTGTCAACCGTGCTCTGGTTGAGCTGAAGTACTGGTTAACCAAACAAGAGACCCCTTTTATAGCAGTTTTCAACATTTGAATTTTCCCTGAAAATTCCCTGCTAATCATGTATTTCAGTGCAAATTGAAGGTGAGAACGGGTTTAATTTTCCTTCTAATAGTTGTTAATTGAAAAGCAGATTTACATCATCTTCTGGTGAAAATCCTCGCTTTTCCTTTCACACCTCAATTTCAGCATACATCCCTCTTACCAGAAACTTTGGAAAAAGTGTCAAGTTCTTTTTTCAGAGAATTGTTTTTTTTTTTTTTTTTTTTTGCAAATAGAAACTACAGGATGGGTAATTACCATAGCTATCATTCAGGTTATTGGAAAGTTGGCAAAAAAATTTTCCAAGAACTACTATCAGAAATGTCCTCTTGCTATCTTTAGTCCTGGGTCAAAAAATTCTTACTAATGATTTTCAGGAACATTTACCAAATTTTACATGCATTTCTCTCATATCATGGCATCACATTTTACGTCTAGAACAACGATTACTCTCTAACGAACACTAGCATAAAAATGACCTGCATTCTAGGGGTTATTGCCATGTTCTGCAGGTGCATCCCCCCGCGGCGCAATCACAGGAAAACGTTCATTACGCTAGAGCAGAAACAAGGCACTTTGCGATAGGTCATAACCTGCGTCTATAAATTACTCCTAAACTGACACAGTTTTCTAGTATGATGGTCTGCAAAAAGGGAAAACGGGGCACTAGGATGCCAGACTGCAGACGAAAGTTCAGCCTCGCCAAAACAAACTTCTTTTGATCTGCTTCAAAGATACGTTTTATCTCTTGACACTGTCAAGTTAAGAAGTGATGTACTGAATTTTTTTAGGTCCCAAAATCTTTTCATCGCTGTGTGAGTACATGTGCACATGTAACTTTGTGTTTATGAATGTACATAATTTCTCTGCCTTATATAAAGTGCTATTTATAGATTGATTATTCAACTTTTTTGTCTGCCTGCCAGTCCTCTTTCCTGAACAGTATTGAAAAAGATACCTCAGTCCTTCATTCATTTTAAATGTTCTTATCGATTTCTTTTGAACTTGTTCTTTTCCATATATTTTTTTTCATTCATGAAGTTAAGGCAAAATTCAAATAGTTTACAATACTGCCCAAAGTGGTCTTTCTTTGTGAACATTCAATACTATAATTATTATAGACAATTTTGAACAGCATTACGTGATCTAAATATTTAAACCAAGAAATCACTTTAATCAGGAAATTCACTCAAGACTCAGACATCCATATGATGCATTTTAATGACAAATGTTCTCTGTTGTCATCGATTTTTGTTTATCATACACACCTCCAAATCCTGAGCCAGAAGTGGGAGGGGGAGGGGGCGCTGTGGTCGCTGCTGGTGAAGGTTGTTGTTGTTGTTGTTGCTGTATTGGTTGCTGTCCCTGTTGTTGTGGCTGTTGCTGTGCTGGCTCTCGTGCTGTTGAATAAATTGAATTGTAAATAAACAACTTCTAGGTGATCACCACTAAAAAAAAACTTCAATAGCAAGTGCTTTCTGTGTTATTTGTGTACTTTTAAATCTAAGACAATTCTTAAAGAAAAAGTATTCTTTCAAAAAAGAAAACCTATTTCAGTTTCGCAAAAAAAAAAAAAAAAAAAAAGATTTGGCACAAAAGCATCTGTCAGAAAACTTTCAGTGGACTGTAAAAAATAGATAGCTTAATTTATGCTTAACTCTCATTGTGTGTCTGTGTATTAGTCATTTTCAGTGTTGGCACACAACTCAGAAAACATGACTTTCTACTTAGAAGTATACATAGAGCTTATGCAACTTAATGCTTAACTCAAGAAAACATGATATTTTTTTGTGGAATTCTAGAAAGATCCAACTAACAAAACAAATTTTCTAAATAAAATTGTATAACTCTAGAACACAAAATCATAAATTTCAACTTCATCTTCTCAGAAAATTTAAAGTATGTTGTTAACTGCAAGGATTTTTCCACATTTACAATCTGATGCAAACAGTCTAGTACTTAGAGTGATAAACTATTCGGGAAAGAACATTTAATACTTGAAGAACTTTAAAAAGAAAAAGTGCAGGCCAAACAATGAACCCAAAATCAAGTCATAACAAACAAATTTAAATAAAAATTGAGTCTCTCTCATAATAGAGATGGAAACTGATGAATTATTGTCTCAACAGGTTAGAACACTCAACAGAAGTCTAAATAATCAAAAATGTTACACAGATTGCACTTTTACAAACAGTTATGAACTAAATGTCAAAGAAAATTCTAAATTTCATTACTTTTATCCTTCCCCCATCCCCCCTCCCTTTTTTTTTTTTTTTTTTTTTTGCTAAAAAACGTCTGAAGCACACTGAATGCCAATAAGTTCAAAGATGACAATTTATCGATACCAATATTAAATAAGCAGGCTTTCCCTCGGTATGATTGGTTGAGAAAGTGCTAAAACCTGAATAACTGTAAATGACTGTGCTAATTATGGAATAACTGTTAATGAAAGCGCTAACCACAAAATTACTGTTAACGGAATTCAACTCATTAACACATGTACAGAGCTGGTTTAAGGCTTTTTGCTGCCAGCACCTGCCAGTTTAAAAGTTACCTAAGTTCATGAACCCATCCTCAAATACGGACTGACTGAAGTTCTCAGGTACATTGCCCAGTGCTGCCCTCTGTTGTTCAACTTCTAAAACATGAAAATATGGGAGAAATTTAGTTCTTTTTACAAAAAGAATGGGCTGTAAGATTCAGTCCCACTGTTGAATGCAAATGTGATGACAATTCATAGCATGACCAGTATTGACATCTCAAAAACTTCACAACTCATTTAAATGTGTTAAATTTGTGTTAAATTTCATATCTATTCCATGTATTACTGACGTGCATTTATTTAATTCCTACATTATCTTAAACACTTCCAACCTCTGACAATATAAATTTTCTATATAAATAAAAGATATTTAAAAAAAAAATTGTTTGTTGAATTGGCATTATTATAAATTCATATATTAAAAATAATTCTTGGGACAATTTTTCTTTTTTTTTTTCTAACCTATACCTTTTTGCATGATCTCCAGATGTTCCCAAAGAATTTCTCCCACAAATGGAGGACACAGAGCCAAGAAATCATCCTTTGGCAGGTCACAAAGTGTGGAGCCCACCATATTGGCAAAGTTCTGTACTTGCACGCCCTCTAGGTTGAACTCTCGGATTGCCCACTGGAGCCACTGGTAGATGTTGATCTCCGACCACTGCTGGGGGTCTGAATGAAGGAAGGAATGAATGAATCAATACAACTTGATCAAGTAAAGTTCCAGGGCCTAAATATTACATGGATGAAATAAAACAAGGTCTTAAAAGGCAGAAATGATGTCCCAAAATCAATTCCCACAAATCCATCAATGTAAAATTTTTGTACTAACTTAGTATCAGTGGGAGATCAATATACCCTTTCATTTTTTGAATAGATGTAGGGGACAATATCATTCCACAAATTTTTAATTATTTCATTAGACCACAACAGTTATATCATCAATATTATTATTGATTTTAACAGCCAGCAGAGTCACACATGCCAACTCACTCATGTATGTCAACATGCATCCCAACTTTGTTGCTTTGACTGCCCCCTATTGTTCAGACTAATCACTAAGCTAATTTTTCACCACATGGATGGTAACCTGATGTAACTGCCCCCTTTTGGCAGTACTAACAACTAGTAGCTCCTGAGCCACCTTTTGACATCTTAATCCCTGTCAATCAGTGTCAAGATGGTCATATATTAATTGGATTAAAAGAAACAAAAAGTTGAACCCTTGGACAGGAAGTCACAATTCTCTGGTTAATTTAACACTGCGGGCGGTACATAAACTTTATGCTGTTGCAAGAAGAGATATGAATTTGGAGAATTTTTCGAAAAAAGTTTTATAAGCCTTCTGCCAGAAGTTACATTTCACTGGACACCTTTAAAATAAGTGTTATGGTGTTCATTTTACATAATGGTAACCAAGAGCCAGGGCCTAATACTTCTCATGAAACCCTTAAACGTGCAGCGTTAATTTCAAAACTTTAGAAGAAATTTATCATGTTATCACTATACGGGTAGATGAAAAGTGAAGTAATTAGAAAACAGTCCCAACTATCAGTAAGCATTGCTGTTTATAATTTTCAGAGGTGTGAGCAAACAAAGAGATGCCAAGTAGAAGTGAGCAAGTGCTCTTTTTCATTTCTGAGCAGACATGAAAAGGAATATAACTTGATGAAAATTTATTTTTTAAAGGAAAAACATTCAATGTTGCAATGTAAAGATCTAACATATTGCATTCCTTTCATGAAGTTATTAAAAAAGTCTGGAAGTATTTCAATAAATAGAAGAGCCCTTTGAAAAGCAACAAGAGACTTATACCACAAAAACACCAACTAACTGTGGGTCAAACTTAATTGTATATAAACAAACAAGCAAAAAATCAAATGTCAAAAAATATAATACTTCACCAGCTTACCAACTATTTGGTATAGGCCTAACCCTAGGTGCTACTAAATTTTCCCAAAATTTTTTCATATATATTTTACAGAATTCTAGCTGGAAAAGCCTTTGATTTTATTGACCAAGGAGAAGTCTTGTCAAAGCCAGACCTGGACTGTAGACAGAACAACTGCGAGATTAGATTAACAATCTTTTCGCAGCCCAATTTCTATCCCTAGATATGGCAGCTTCAAACAGATCTCTCCACTGAAATTTAATAGCGGCTTTTACAAATTCAATTGAGAAAACCCAAATAAATCAGCTGAGCAACCTTGCTATGTGTGACTTGAATCAAAAGTACTATTATTTTCTTTCGTGATAGATTTCTGAGAAGCAAAAAATTGTCATTTAAAAATTGCTGAGGTGATTTTTTTCAAAGAACTTACAAATCATGAGCCCCAGGGAAATACTTTCCATATAACTACACCTAACAAAATTTTAGAAGTAAACTCATTGCCAATAACTGCACATGATCAATTAAATCCCCTTTAAGCTGGACAATGTCCTTTCTGTGTTCTTTGTGCGACCATGAAACTGGCATTGCTGTGGTCAGGCACACACAGAATGAATGCTCAATGATCGGCCAGTTGTCGGCATGTAAATAATTAATTTTTTTTTCACTCTCACAAGGGGCTAATCAAAAATGGCCAACCCACTTTAATGCTTATTGCATTTTCAATGTGGGGAATCTATTCAGTGTCTAATCGGGAATTAAGCGGTAACTTTTTGAGAGGGTCGCCAAATTTGATCAGCAAATCTACAAGTCCGCTGTTCTGAATTTGCTTTTAGAACACACTTATTACACACAAGCACATTCCCTGAACACTGGTAGGTGGTGTGCTTAGAGCTCATCAAGCCATGGTCAGTTTAACTGCCCATGAGTCAAAGATGACACACTTCACTGAACCACAGCTCATACATCCCTGGTCATTACCATTGGTCACTGACACCACAGCCCCGTTTTGTGGTCAGACTGGTCAAAACAACGTGGACAATCGGACATAAAAACAAACTTCCCTCTCTTTGCCCTAATTCTTCCCCCGTGTATTTTAATGGGTAATCTGCAGAGTTCCTCCCTAAAAAGAAAACTTTGGGCACTTGTTGATTCCAAATGAAATAAAATCGGGTCATTTATAAGTCAGTATGTTACCTTATTGAAAAGTTGGGGGCATTCTAAGTCTCTGTGTGTCACTGTGCTATGTGACATAGGGACCGCTTCTGAAGTTGTTTCAATGACATCTGAAAGCTGGGCCGATGGGACATCTTGTCATTGTTGTTTTGACTCCTATTCATTGAAAAACTGAAACCTGAGGCCTTACATGTTTTACTTATAATTCTACATCTCCAAAAATCTCTTCATCTTTTTTGGACATGATACTCAATTGAAAGGAATCTCACCAATAACACACTAACCACACATATACCGCAGACAGCAGTATTAAAACAAACAGTTTGAGATAAGATCTCACAGAAAACAACCCTGGATATTTTACTGTTCTAAACCACTGTACAACAGTGGCAGTGATTGACATTCAATCTTGGACAATGGTGATTGGTCATCTCCCCATTTACGTCAAACAGAAGACAAGGAGGGTCCCACCTAACTGGACATCTTAGACAAATATTTAAACTTATGACAAATTTCCTTCTTCCATATTTTATGTGTGAGATCATATACATACATTAAAAAGTAAGTCACAAGAGCATGTGATTTGCAAAAAAACAAAATCATGATTTTCTAAAACCAGTTGAAACTGGTTTTAAGTTAAATAAAGATGAGTTTTTGCCAACACAGGTACAAGTGTATGGTTTTAAGTTAAATAAAGATGAGTTTTTGCCAACACAGGTACAAGTGTATGATTCAGAGAGCTTTAAAAAGAACTTGACTTGTCCTCATGAGATCACAGGTCATGCCCTATTTATTGTTATAACAACAATGAGATTTTTTAATCTAATAAAATCACCCTTTTTTCTTTCACCATCTTTTATGATCAAATATCAAGATTCTTGTTTAAAAAACTATGAATTCTTTATGTATGAACCATTTACTGTGTGCAACTACCCACACACACACACGTAGTATTCTTGTCTGTATCAATGATATTTGCCCTCTTTTCACCTATTTTTTCTTTCTTTCTCTCTCAAACATACAAACTAACACCCAATCACACATGAAGTGTTCACATCTGATATTGCTCTCTCTCTCTCTCTCTCTCTGGTGTGGAAATATGGGCACACACACTGCCACGCCCCCTACCTTTGGTGATCCTCAGCCTCTGCTGCTCCCTCTCAAAGGTCTTAAAGCTCTCCAGCAGCGCTTGGGACATCTTCTGGTTAGTCCCTGGGGTCAGAGGAGGAACCTGGGGGGTTGGCATATCTGGAAATGAATAGGATTCATCATTATATAGCATATTTATATATATACTACTATACCCACAGGAAGGGAAAAATCACCTGTAACTGCTTTTTTTTTTTTTTTTCAAAAATAGAGGTAAACATCTAAATAACAAATGCATATCTGAAAAATGACAAATGGATAGGTAAAAAATTGAGCAAATGCCAGAAGTTCCATGGTGAGAACAATCACTTAATTAACATGCTAAGGGGTAAAACCTAAAACAGCTGATACAAATTTTCATTGTACTTGTACAAAAACTAGAAAAAAAAACATTTATTTGCAAACTTAAAACACAAACTTTTTGGCCTGCTTTTCTATTCACACTGATCTCCCTTAAGCTTTTCTTTGACAATCAGACTAAAGGAAAAAATCAACAAAAAAAAAGATTCATAAAACTGTAACCAGAGAGCACCAGGTGCCTCTGAAAGCTGTCCAAGAAAACCCCTTTCCTACATCAACCAAACATGAGTGAAAGTCCTGAAAAAAAACTCACAATTTCCCACTGCATTAATGATTTACACTAAATGGAAACAATAACAGTCAAAATGAAGATTGAAAATCCTGAAATCGGGCATAATCTTGAAAACTAACCCATGCACAAACTACAAGTACTGCTACCTCAATCAAGTCTACTTGCATACACAGATGTTAGCTCGGTCCTGTCTCGACAAAATTCTGATGTTCTGCTTGGATATGATCTGGTTTATAGTTCGTTATCATGTGATAATAAATTAACACATCAAGTTTTCCTTTTCAACTTAAGGCACTAATTTTCATAGCAGGTGCTAGAGTCCTAAGACCTAAAATTTTGCGTGGGCGAACAGACACCTAGCTGAGTGCAAATTCACTATGTCTGCATAAACTTGGATCTTTTTCTCTCTAATTTTTGTAGTTCATACTAAAGAAATACTTGATATTATGCTAACATTACCTTTGTTCATTTCTAATCCTGTCACATACACAAAGGTCAACCAGCTATGGTCACTTACTTGCATGAGACGTTTCTGCCAAACCAATTTATTCTTAGTTGTATACCTGATTTCCTTACCCGATTTCTTCTCTTAGTTTGCATAACTGTACGTTGAATATACTTGCCAACTTGTCTTTTTGCAAAATATCAAGTTTTCGGGTACCATGCCATTGTGACATACTGAGCCAATTGTAAACTTTATATCAAATGAAAATGTATTTAAAATAAGTTGGTTTTATTACTTGCTTATTCTCACCTTTGCCTTTACTTCTCCCAAGTTGTTCTGTTCTGCCTAATGTTAATCTCTACTGGTTTGGCACCAAATTTAAAACGGTGTCCTATCTTTAAGATATGAACGGTTTGGCAACTTTTTTGGCATATACTTAAAAACACAATTTAAACAAAATCCTCTTCAAATCATCACGTGTTTTGCAAATCCTTGGTGTTATGTAGAAAATGTCTATGGAAATCCTCTCAGTTTCAAGCAAAAAAAAAAAAAAAAAACAAAAAAAACTACAATCAAGCCATCCCAGTCTTCAAGTGTATTCAGACTTCATAGGAGCAGTGTCCTTTCTACCTATCCATCAAGTTAAGGTGTAACTGACCACTACTTCCTACCCCCTACTCTGTCCACTACTGTCTCTGGACAATTAACACATTAACTTCCTTAACTGACCAATGATAAGAGAGCTGTGTAAAGGAGGGCTAACAGTGTCCACTGAGCTACACCATCTCATTCATCTTCCTTATTTACAACTGTTAAAGCTCTCCTTTTATTCCCCCCACTAGAGTCCACCACTTCCCCCCTCGGGCCTTATCAGTTGTTAGGACATCAAAGTGACCCTCTTGGTCCACCCTGCTGGGTTTAATACACCCAAGATGGCCAGGTATGACCCAGTCCCTGTTTCGGGCAATTAACCTGATGTTTGATTGTTGCTGGTCTTAATTAGTGGAGATCTGTTATGTCACGGTCCAGCTTGGCTGAAAAATTACAAAGGACATCAGCAAGTCCGGAGCACTGATATGATCTGATAAGGGCCCCTGGCAGACTTGGTGTTGACCAGTTTACATTCATCAAGATTCTACCTTTGGGTCTTTGCCGAATTGGCTTGGGATATCTTTTGTATTGATTAAGTTTGTTTGGGTGTCAAGTTTGGGTCTTGGCTTTCTGGTTCCTTTATGTTAATGCTGTGTTTGAGATTCGGCAATGTTTTGACACCTAGTAGTGCTAGACTTGTAAAACATCAAAGGATGGGCTGCTAATTTGAATGCAAATTAAATTTTAAACTTAAGTTCCAAGCAAGGCCCCTTTTAAACATCAAACTTTGAAGTAATCCAGTAAGTTGATCCTTAATAAAATGATTAAAAAAATGATTACATGCAGTGGCCAAAAAATGAACATTTGACAAGTTGAAATCACCAGAAATTATGAAAAAAAAAAAAACTTGTTCCTATACCTAATGAAAAGATGCTTAGCAAATGAGTAAAACTTCTCTACTAACATGACCCAAGATAGTACACCATGTTCTCACTGCTCTGCAGCATCAGTATATTATGAGATTCCTGAATTGTAATTCATACAATTTTTCACTCAAACTGACGTCACTTCTTACACTTAATCATAACATATTAATCATTTCAAAACAAACTTTTATAACAATGTTGTAGTTATCATGACAGACACCTTATTTTCATCAAAACTGCTCGCATCTTGATCAGTCTTGTCTTTCTTCAATGAAACCATACTGTAGTTGGCACAGGTTTTAATTATCTCTTTTAATAACTTTTCTTCATTAAAGCTCACACTGATAGTCATTTTTGCAAGGCCCGTCATAGTCACCTTAACAGTTTTCTTTATTTTTTTTTTTACATTTTCTTTAACCAAAACCATTCTTAGCTTTGAAAATTATTTTCTCCACTTTGAGATGTAGAAGAATGGTAATGACTCGATCTTTTCAATGGGGGGAAAATTGTGAATTTTACAAATACTTTATCTATAAGTAATAATTTCTTTAAATTACAACATTCCTATTGAGTGGTAGCAACAAAACTGAAAAGCAGGCCACTCTATAGTTCCATTCTATGCAGTATAAGGACCACAGATGCCATATAGAAATACAATTTTTGAGATTATGAAATAAGATATCTGAAAGTTTGGTAATTTTTGCCTATTGAAATGATCCAGTCATAGCCATGTTTTCACCTTACTTTTGTTACGTGTGCTTGCACCTTGTCATTATAAAAATAATACGCTGAATCATACATTTCATATTGAACAAAGATATCTTAAGGTACTTTTATCATTGTTTAATGGATAAGAATATTCAAGTTTTTGTAAACACTTATTATTATGTAATAGCCAATGAACATTTCTGTATATTCTGTATATAATGTGTGTATATACTCCATGCAACTTAGAGAGGTTAATTCTTAACCAATTTTTTGTATTTATTTAAAATGATTGATCCATAGCTTGCATTTTTAAAAAGGCTTATATATAATCATGTTTTCATCAATAATTTTGTTATTCTTCACTGTTCAACAAAAGAGAACACTAAGGAATGAAAAAAAACATTAAAAGTTCACCAAACTTACTTTTAATCCCCCTGGTCCTACGGCTTGGTAAAGGAGGAGATATGATGGACAGCATGTTAGAAGCAGTCTTAACTGTCCCATACAGCACTAACTGTGGAGATCACTAAGACGCCAGAGATAGCATGTAAAACTCTTCACCACAAATCACTTCCAAGGTGGAATACTCCTACTCACAACTGATCTCCCTGCCTCAAATAGTAAGCCAAGTTAGGTATGTGCATATAGTACCCAAAGAAAGAACTCCAGTTCCAAATCCCGTGACCAGCTTATTCTTAAGCAAATGTCTTCCACATCCAATTTCCTTGGTTCTGCCTATCTGTTCAAATCTTTCCTTCCTGAACATTTAAAAACTCATTAAAGCGGTGTCCCTGTAACTACTTCCACTGAACTCAGTTTCTCCAATCAGATTCAGTCTCATTCCCTTAAAATTAAGTATCTTTTCTCCTTCCAGCCAGGGTCGTTACTACCAGATACAGTGAGCACTGAAAAACTAGTTCATGTTGGCTTGAAGTAAGTTTGGAGATTCATCATGAACAATGTAGCATCTAGGTCATGCTTAGTTGACATTAATTCTCAAGCTAGCTTCTTGGCAGGAAGTGTCCATGTGTCCCAGTGATTATTTAGCCTAGTAATTAAGGGGCCATATGCAAGATAAGGGGAGAGAAAGCAGGAAAAATTATGGCGTTAATTCAGTGGAAATTTATCTCTCAAATTTGCTCATTTGTAAATTCACCAATCGAGATTACTAAATGAAATGTCCTAATCGTGTAAATAACCTACTGGTATATATTCAAAACTGTTTGAATTTCAAACAGAGACAAAATATTACCCACCCCCTTTGTCTTCCCCTAAATAAAAGTGCCTACCATAAACACAGCTACAGGACCCCGTTCATTGATAAACTTTTATGAATGGAGTCTGTACCAATGTGGTAAGAGGTGAATGGATGACTCAGCGCCCTTATTTGGACAGGGCCAAGACAGACGTCAATCAAGGCCCCAAAAAGTTAGCTCAAGGATCTCACAGATAAGAAACTTCCAGTGGTGTTATCATAGTATAATCCAGTTCATGATTCTTGATTTTATAAGGGATCATTTCAGCATAATCTCAGACTGTTTGTGTATTAGTTCAGTCTTCTGCCTGTTGCAGCAATTATGTGTTTACTCAGTTTAAGTAGGTGTTAAAAGTTGGCTTACCACTAAGCCCTTATACTGGATTGTCAGTTGTGATAAGTAGCTGACTTTTCTTTTCTCTCACCTTAATCACATATTCTGCTTTTCTCTCTCTATCTGCACATTCCCCTTGCCTGCCAATTTACAGAACCTCACAAACTGTGAATAAAGCTCAAGCACATATGCACGACTTCCATACATTTAAACATAAGGCCTTTCAGAGAGAAAATCTTAACTATAAC